TTTGCATGAATGATTTTATAACTCTGATTTATTTATATAATTGTCGGGTAGAATTGAAGTGTTACACTAGACACTGTGAAACTTCATTGTTCTATCTAAAGTAAGGTGCAATGCTCATGCCAGAATGGTTCGGGTAGAAATTGAATATATGCTCATTGCAAAAAATTATGATATGGAAGTTCAAACGGCCTTGCGTTCATTTTGAAATAGATGTCTCCTTAAAGTAGAATTAAATAAAAATATATTATTAAGAAATTTAAAAATTAACTTTATTGATAGTCAATAAAAATAAAGATTTTTATTTTTTCATGATAACTAACTTTTCTTTTGTGAATATTGACGAAATATTTTCTATTCTTGATTGGTAAATGCTTATATGATTAAATGAATCTATGTGTCTACTTTATTTTTGTTTCTACATTTGAAATTAAATTATTTGAGATATGATATTATATTTGGAAAAATATTGCATATAATTGTATAATATTATGTGTAACCTTATGATATCATCACAATGTAAACTTGTGTACGAGTATTTCACCCATTACATTACAGATAATGTTAAGGGAGCCGCTGGACCATTCAGGATCTTGGAAAATTGAGTGTCTTGAAGAACAAGGGATGCAGTTTGGGAAATAGACAAGGCCACACAAAATTTAAAGTCCACAAGACTTATAAGAACGACCGAAGGAATACGAGGATTATTTGTTTATTTAATTGTATATCACATCACTTTAGAATTGGTACTACCTATAGAAAGAATGGTAAGAGCACTCTATAAGGCTCGATAATTTAATTAAATTATTTTCAAATTATTTGTTGAAATATGTGAAACGTTGTTATATGTTGTTAAGTTATTATTTGGTTGATTATTTTAGTTGATTAATATTAGCAATAATATTAGATGGACCTATTTTGATAGTTAGAAGTAGTAATAGGTGAGGTGTGTAAATTGAGCCCATTAGGAATAATAATGCTATTATTAGGTTTAGTTATAATAATAAGAAATTAGGTTAATTAGAAAGATTAAGAAAGTCTGATACAATAACGTAGGAAGTGGCAGAGAAGAGGAATAAGGAAAAGAGGCAAACCTAGGTCAATCATAGAGTTACATAGCAACCTTCAATCCAAGGTAATGGTGAAGTTTTAGCTTTATAATGGGTATTGTGATGAATAATATGTAGGAATTGGGTTGGTGTAACGTTGTTGCGCGTATGTTGTTATACTGAAATTCGTTGTTATCATGTTGTTATCATGTTGTGGATGTCCTGAATTGTTCGCAGAATTAATTATTTGTTGTTAGAAATCATAATATTGCTGATATAGTCGTTATGTTTCTATGTCGATGTATCATTGTGTTGTATCATGTTGTTCTGAAAATACTGTTAATCGAAGGAAGATATGGAGAATTCTGTGTTTGAATCAGTAAGCTTGTGAAGAACTGCGTGAGAAACACTATGTGTCGAGGGGCACACGAGCATGCCGATCGACACGGTTTAGAGAGGAGTGTGCCGAGCAACACAACTTCATGACGAGCGACATGACCTTTTAGCTTTATGCCGAGGGGCACCCTAGGTGTGACGAGGGTCGCGCCCCTAAAACTCTGTTTTTCAGTTATTTTGTTTGTTCCTAGACCTGTTACTTTATTAGTTCTAATTGTTAAGTTTAATTAAGTAGAAGAGTTAACGGTAATAAATAACATAATCAGTAAATAATAGCAGAGACTATTTGTTAGTTACTGAAGTAAACAAATTGTAGCTTAGCATATGTAACAGGTAGGATTAATAGATGACAAAGTCAAAATGTTTAGCAGGGACAATTATTAAGTTGCTGTGATGATGTTGTTGTTAATTGCGAAGTTGCAGGTAGTGATGAATTTTGTTGTGTTGCCTGTATTGATTGGTTAAAGCCAAGTTTTAGGCTATTAACAATAAAACAATAACAGAGATAATTCACGGTAGTAGGAGATAATTCATGGTAGTAGGATGAAATTGCAGAAACCTTATCGGAAAACTATTAACATTATTAAAGCATAGTACATATAGTAGGAATAAGTTGACGGTAGGAGTTAATTGTGAAATAGTAACAGAAAGCTATTAGCAATAAAACAGCAGTAGAGAATTAATTAGTAGCACTAGAAGTAGTAGAAATTATTGATAGCAGTACTAGCTTATATAATAGTCGCAACAGGTTAATATTAGAGGAATCATCGTAGAACGTCTAATAGCCGAATATATACGCATAGCTGAATAATTATGTAGTATTATTGCAATGGATTTCGATTGTATTTGTGAATTTCACTATGTTGTTGTAATGCCAATATTGTTGACGATGCGAAGTTGCAGGATATACCGATGTTGTTGAAATGCCTCTAATTCTTGACAGATATTACGTTGTAGGCTTACGATCAAAGTTGAATTATATTGAGTTGATGTTGAATTATTATTGATATTATAGGCTTATGGCCAACGTTAATTTATGTTGAGTTGATGTTGAATTGTTGTTGATGTTATAGGCTTATGGTCAACATTGATTTATGTTGAGTTGTTGTTTATTGTTGTTGCTACATTCATGTTGTGTCACATACATCGCATATCAAGTTGGAGCTGATGCTCGTTAAGTTGGCCTGAATAGATAAAATATTAAGTTGGAGACTTATGCCTTGTTGATGCCTCAATTTATTGGAAGATTATTAAGTTGAGAGTTTTACTCCGTTGGTACCACATGTATGTGCATAAAAATCAAGTTGCATTTCATGTTGTATCTTGAGTTGTTGTATGGAAGAATTAGTTGTGTTAAATGTTGTTAAAAAGCTGGGAAATAGTGATTGTTATATGAACTAATTCTAATATATTATTCATCATACATTCTATTATATTGTTTGATATTTCACCCCTTCTGTTTGAATGTTATCCCTATGTTGGTAACGTGTAGGTAATCTAAAATGAATGTTGTTTACCTTCAGTAGTTTGAGTCGGTGTTGTCGCTCTGATACGTAACACTCGGGGGGATGAACGCTTGTTACTTTATTGTTGATTTTACTTACGTTGCTGAATTTTAAGTTGATTTCATTAAGTACTTTATTGTTTTTAAAGTTATTTTCAGTTGAACAAAGATGTTATGTCATTTGAGTTGAAAATTGTGATTTTGCTGCTTAAGTAATAAAGTTGTTTCATTTTAAAGACTAAAATTGTTGTTACTTGTTCATTCAATGATTTAAGTGTTATGTATCTGTTTTATATGCGATTAAATGTTGTTGTTATAAGTTGAAAGTGTAGCATCCTATTTGTATGTCGAAATTTTATAACTCTGATTTTGTTAATATTCGCTGGGTAGAAATAGGGTGTTACACACTCAACTTAGATAGTGTTGGAGAGAGTTCTACCTCTGTCAAACCTAGATGGCCCATGCCTCACAACCGTCATTATCCTCGCGTTAGAAATCATAGTCCTTATGTTCCTCATTATTATAATACTGGTGTAGGCGAGATCGAATTTGAAGGGAATGGTCATATTGCATCGGAGGAAGATCCCCCCACAATACTTCAGAGATAACAGGGCCAATAGGGATCTCCCCAATGGATACTAGTGGTGCGCTGATGGTTGACTTTTGGTGATGGGAAGTTTGAGAGCCATTTTGTGATAATCAGTAGATTCTATAGGTCTATGTTCCTAGACTCTTCCATTTAGTAGTGTTGACTTTAAAGGATGTGATATGTGAATATGACTATGTTATATCTAACTAAGATGTTTAACTTGTAGGTGATATAAGAATAATTATCGATGTTTGATGCTTGTAAAATATGTAAGTCTATTGATAAAATAATTAACACTTATGCATGTCATAATCTTATGTATAATATATGATGGCGTTTGCTAGTATTCCTTCATAAAAAAAAGACTTTAACTTTAAAATCAATTTGAAATAGCTTGATAAGATTTTATGAAACTATATTACTATGATTTTCTTTTTAAACATAAATAATTGAGACAATATAAGGAAAATATGAGTGTTACATTCACCAAATCCCACATGATTTGCTTACACTTAGATTTAGTATTTAATATTTATATAGTTAAGTCAACATAAATTGGTGTCAACTATCAGAGAATTTAACTTGTTACTCCATAAATTAAACCTGTTAACTCTCATTTCTCATAATACTAAAAATGTCTTTGATAAAGAAGAATAAAATAGTCGAACGAAATTTCCAGTAGTTCATTTAATATGTTCGAAAACATGCATTTCGAAAATTTTGATAAAAAATATAAGAGTTTTCACGAGAATTTTTGAAAATTTTGGCACAGTTTTGAAATTTCTGGTAAAAATTCATGGAAATTTCAAAATTTTGAGTATTTTTTTTCAAAATTTCCGGTATAGTTTTGAAATTTCTGATAAAAACTCATAGAAATTTCGAAATTTATGGTATTTTTTCAAAATATCCGTTATAATTTTGAAATTTCTAATAAAAAACTCATGGAAATTTCGAAATTTCCGATACCCTAAAGTTTTTGATAAAACTCATACTTTTTAAATTTACTAACTTTAAACAAGAATATAATGATAAAAACATGTAAAATAGAGGGGATGACAAATTAAATCCTTTCACTATTAAATTAGAGAGATATAATAAATACATGGACCTCAAGCTCAATAAATTTATTTTAAAATTTGTATTAATTAATTTATAAATATTATTTTTTTAAACTTAATTAAAATTATTAATTATAATTTATTTTAAAAAATATTAATTAATAAATGATCATAATCATTGTGTTATTAAAAATAAATTTTCATTCTAATCATCATTAATACATGTGCAATGTAAATAAGGGACTAAAAAGCTGTTCTTCTTTTTAATTAAAAATAAATAAATAAATTGGAAGAGTATCCCTAAAAACTTTCCCACCTTAGAAATTAGAAATTCCCTCCAACTTTGAAGGCTGTTTCACATATAGGGTTTCTCTGGGGGTTTGCCACTCGCATTCAGCATCACAAGCATGGCATCATCATCCTCAAGCAACAGCGCAAACTACGACGTGCCATGGGTCGAGAAGTACCGCCCCAGCAAGGTCGTCGACATCGTCGGCAACGAAGACGCCGTTTCCAGACTCCAAGTCATCGCTCGTGACGGCAACATGCCCAACCTCATTTTATCAGTAAACCACTAACCCACTCTTCAATTCACCACACTCACTCATTCGTTCTCTCACTCTTTAGTTTTTCACTGTGCCCTAATTCCCAATTTTGTTGTTATTGTCGTTTTTAGGGTCCTCCTGGAACTGGAAAAACCACCAGTATACTTGCCCTTGCGCACGAGCTTCTCGGTCCCAATTATAGAGAAGCTGTTCTTGAACTAAATGCATCAGATGATAGGTCCCGTTAATTTGTTATTTGGTTTTTTGGTCTAATTGTGCTTGAAACATTGTTTAAGTTGTTTAAGTTTAAGGGTTTAACCAAGTTATTCACATTTTGTGTGTTTGTTTGTTGCTGTAGAGGAATAGATGTCGTGAGGAACAAGATCAAGATGTTTGCTCAAAAGAAAGTAACACTTCCTCCGGGCCGACACAAAGTTGTTATACTCGATGAAGCTGACAGGTCTGTATTGAATTTTGGTGGTGATTTGATTCAATTAATGTTGTTACTTGGCTCATTATTGTTTTCGTCGGATTTTACTTTTGTGGTAACATTATTATTTTTTTACTCATCAGCATGACATCTGGAGCACAACAAGCTTTAAGAAGGACAATGGAGATATATTCTAATTCTACTCGTTTCGCGCTTGCTTGCAATACATCGGCTAAGATTATTGAGCCGATTCAGAGTAGGTGTGCAATTGTGAGATTTTCGCGACTATCTGATCAAGAGATACTTGGTCGTCTCATGGTTGTGGTTCAAGCTGAGAAGGTACCTCAACTTTCTATTTGTGTTGAATTACCGAGTATTCTTGTTTGTTAGAGTAATATATGCCTAACATCTTAATTATTTTATCATCTTTCTTTGTTGGGAATGTGCTATGTCTAACATCTTAAGTGTTTTATCATCTGTATTTTGAGAATGTTAGTTAATTGCATGACTCATAAGACTCAAGATTGATATTTAATCACTAATTTATGACATCTCCGTCTTTTACTATTCATACTTTGATGTCTAAAGGGGTTGCTCTTAATTGGAAAAAGAATCATTTGTAATTTTTATTTCTGGTGAGTCAAAAATTAATACTGCCTTTTGGTGATATATAGGTATGCCCATTAAACAGTATATCCAGTGTTATAGAGAAAGTAAAGGCAGTTCGGCATAATTTAGCAATCATAGAAGTTCTGCATATTATATGCTGTTTGAAAATTTTGATTAGTTGGTTAGAATTACTTTTGTCAAGTATATAGCAATTAGTTAGTTTTCCATTCTGTTTATAGCTTTAGGTACATATTATATTACACTAGTATAGTGCCTCAGTGAGGAATAGAAATACCCGTGTCGCATCCCATCTAAAGTTTTCTGATATTAATTGCTAATGTTACATTGTCTCCATATTGTTTGTATTAGTACCTTTCTGTTTAGCTTTTACCCATCTTGTTTGATTTTCTGCGTAATCTATTGGTTGGTTATATTCCTTCCTCATTGAGGTTTTCTGTCTAGAACTATAATAATATCTGCTGCACGCCTGCACTATGTGGATACTTAATAGAAGGGTGCTCAAAAAATGTGACAACTTTTGCAGTCCTGTTGCTTTCTTGGAATTGCAAAAAATACTTTTTATAATAAGCAATATAAAGGATGAAGGACTTGAGAAATGCCATGCCATTAGTTAGATTTTGACCTGTCCCATATTTTAGGAGGATATACAATATATTGTTCTGTAAATTGAGTTGAAGATGACACTTTATATCTTAAGCTTTCCCATGGTCTGAAATCTGACAATTTTATGGCCTACGAGGGATATAGGATGTCTGATTGCCGGTACTATTCTTTAAACCATATGAAGGAATAGGAAAGGGAAGAGTGGGATTGTCCATGTGGCAGAGAGGAAGAGAAAGGCTAAAAATGTAGTTTAATTCTGTTATATGTGGGCTGAGCAGTGTAGTCAAGATCGAGTGCTGGGAAGTAAGATCGTAAGATATTTTGTGGTAAGGATGCTTGAGAGTGCTATGATCAGAGAAAGACCGGTTTTCGTCGCCGTCGTGGTCAAGATCGAGCTTTCTAAAGTAAGGTCATAAAAAAAACGTGTTGGGGCTTTTTCTTAGGCCTGTATTATAATTTTCATGTGTGTGTATATATATGAATGAAATTACCATTTTCCCTCCGTTAGGATCTTACATGTTGTGCTAATGATCCGAGTTTTACGATCATTCACAAGCCGACTCCTACTTAAGATCTCGTGGTTGATTACATTGGCTCAGTAGAGAGAGAGAGAGAGGCGTGAAGAGAATCACTCAGCTGTTAAGGGAAGAGAGCATTGGTTTTCTGAAGGAGCTCAGCTCTGTGGACAATAGGGTCTTTCTATTGATTTTCCTTTGATTTATAGAAATGACACAGTTTATTCTCCATTACTACTCTATTTTCTTCCATTTCCTGTTTCTGTAATCCGGGTTCATATCAAACTATGGTATGGCCTGCCGGATTCTCGAGGTGATCATCACTTTAGAGTCGAAAACTAACACAAAAATGAAGATTAGATGCTCTAGGAATGCAAATGATTGACACCAGAATAGTTTAGAGAGAGATGCAGATGAAGCAAAAAGAAAATAATGAGAAATTGGTCGCTGTGATTATGAAATGCCCGGGCAAGAAGAAACAGCAAGAGGGCTATGAGAATCTGGAGAATGACGTTCTGCGAAAAACAAAGCAAGAAGTAGATAACCAAAACTTAGAAAATTGCTCACCATCCGGTGCTCCTATAACACCAAATCTGAATAGATAGAGGAGAATAGGAAATTTGCAGTATTAAAAAGGAGAAAAAATTAGGAAGAGCGGAATAACAAAGAGTCTCGTCACCCCCGCACCTCAGCCAAAACCACCTGACCTGACCCAAGCTCATTCACTGCGACCATTCCACTGCCAGGTGCGTCACCACTGTCCGGAGGCTCACTAGCGCTGGAAAAGCTGAAAGAGAAGCAAGGTACAATGATGGAACAGGAAAAGAGCAACTGTCAAAAATCTTGCATAATGATGAGTGGCAACCGCTCCAATGATGATATTTCGAAGTGGCGTGGCTGTGGAGTCCATCCTTGGTTCCCTACTATGGTGTTTGGTGGTGAATCGTCAATGAAACCGTCAGATTGGAAACGGCACATGACAGGGATGGGTTTCCAGTTCACATGTTTCTCATCCGTGCCTCCACCCAAGTGGAGGTGTGTGGGACCAACAACAGTATCAAGGGTGAGGACTACAAGGATATGCAATAATGTGGCTGTTTTCAAGGAGGGATGTAATCTAGGAGATGAAAAAGAAAGTGTTTAATGGATTCCCTGCAAAGAGGGGTTATTTCTTGAGTTAACAATTTGAGCCCGTGTTTTTCTCTATTTGTCCCTATTAATTGGAAAATCCCTGTTCAGTGAATATTAATATGGGCCTAGTCAACAAGCTTTGGATTGGCATCTTTCTCTCATCAAGTCAGTTGCTGAGTCATCGCAACTTTACTTTGTGCTGACAAATCAAGCTCAACGACCTAAAATAAGCATGACCCCTGTTTTTGAGGGCACAAAACAGAGTTCCTCATTTTAAAGGAAACAACTTGTTTGGAAGAATGTAGAGATGCAAGGGAACAATGATTTAATATTTTTATTTCAAACTGCATACTAGCAAAATTATGTTGCCTTTTCTGACAAAGTTAAGAAAGGAACACGGGGTACATTCACGCCCACTGAATATGTATCTATCAAACTTCATTTTGGATTTACCAAGAGACTTTGGGGCGTGTTTCTAAAACCCTACAACGAAGAGAATGAAAATACACCATATTGGAAGAAACAGAACTAGGATTTTGCCGAAGTGCCGATGTGAACCAGTATACAATCACTGTGAAGCATACAATGCAGAGGTGTACACAACTGATTGTTGAGATCTAAGTCAGACCCTGTACCCAGTGCCACATTCATGTTTGATATCATCCAAGAATTTACTAGTAATCCTGGAGGAAACTAAGGGTAATCCTTCTGGGAATTTTGTCAATTTACAGGATAGCTTGTGCTCAAGTGTTAGGATCTTACTATCTGTGTTTACAGAGGTGGGCTACTACAGATGTCATTGGTCAAAAAGTTTGTGATGCTGACGGGGGTTGCGGTAGAATCAATGCCTGTGGTTTCGTTGTTACTACCCAGGACAATGAGTTACCGCTAATAGTAGAATTGAGTTTGATGGTGCATGTCTCTAAAAACTTTTTGTTTGTTGAACTTAGTATGCCTGATGATGATGCTTGTACAGTGATAGCAACAAGATGGTGTCCTGAGCTTTCTGCAAGTTCTCAGCCAAGAAAGAAGACCGAAAAGGCATTGTATGGCAGTCCTAATGGCCTTGCAGACCAACTGAATTGCACTTTTGATGAAGCTGCTAAAATGATTGCTAACTTCAAAGGCACCTTTCCGAGTGTTGCGTCTTGGCTTCATAAAGCTGTTTCATTTTGTGTTAGCCAATGATATATGGTGTGACTCTTAAGGGAAGGAAACTATATTTTTGTAAAATAAATTTTGCAGCAGTACAGAGAAATCAAAAGATCAGTGGCAGGTTGTGGACTCCATTTGTCAAGGATTTGTTTCTAACATAATTAAAATTCCAAAGCTCAATGTTTACTCTGTACTCTATGAATTAGTGCTCGAAGTGAAACCTTTTGTGAAAGCTTCCCCACCACTGCAGAACAACATAGAGGACAAAGTGTTACTTCTTGTTCTTCTGTTTGTCAAACTTTAGATTTGAAAATATTTTGTTGGTCAACTCTTGATAAAATGAAAAGGAAAGAATTTGGAAAAAGCTATTTAGGCGGAAAAAGTCAATTTTGGGAGCCAATGCACCATGACCTGGCTTGAGGGCAAGTCTGTTTCTGAAGTGGGGGGCAATATTATTTTTAGGACCCCAAATGAGAAATCTGGGTCAATTGGACTGATAGCATAACAACAACCCCTAAACCTAATAAGCAGTGGGTTTATGCTAGAATGACTAGGAAATGGGAGAGTGGGATTACCCATGTGGCAGAGTGGGATTGCCCACGTGGCAGAGAATGAGAGAGAAAGATTAACAGCGTGTAGTAGGATTATCTTATATAGGTGCTGAGTAGAGAGAGGTATGAAAGAGAATCACTCAGTTGTTAGGGGCAGATAGGGCTGTTCATGGTACAGTTCGGGGAGAAAATTGAACCGAACCGAACCAAACTATAGTAAAAGTTTACTTGAACTAAACTGAACTGTTTCAATTTATTCAGAATCGAACCGAATCAAAATCAGTTGTTTGCTATACTGTTTCAAAATACCGAACTGTTAGAAGACAATTTTTCCCGAACCAAACCATTTATTAAAGAACCGAACCCTTAAACTATTCTTCAATTTAAAAAAAAAACAACAACTTATTTTTAGTATTTTTCATTTTCAATTTTGGTTTGGTTTCAGTTTCGGTTTGGTTCAGTTTCATTTTCGGTTCGGTTTTAGAACTATTTGTGTAATATGGTTTGGTTCACTAACCAAACATAATGGTTTGATCATTTTAACCTCAGCTCGGTTCGGCGGTTCAGTTCAGTTTATGGTTTTCTTGAACAGCCCTAGGGGCAGAGCATCGGTTCTCTGAAGAAGCTTAGTTCTATGGACAATAGGATCTTCATTCTATTGTATTTTCCTTTAATATCCAGAAATAATACACATTATTTTCCATTATTATACTTTCTTCCATTTACTGTTTCTATAATCCGGTTTTGCATTGGCATGTTAGACTGGATGAATTTTTTGTTTTCATATTTTTTCTTTTAAAGCAAAACCTAATATATGATGATCCCACCATGTTGGCTTCCTTTATCATAAAACGTATTCATTGAATGTTTTTGCCATTATAAATGTGAACTGGTTGGGCACATTTTTATGGTTACAGAAAGAACTGCGTTAGTTGCTATCTGTTTGGCTTTAATAGTATTGAGGAGATGAATGATTGAATTGTTTTACGATTGAAGGTTCCTTATGTTCCTGAAGGACTTGAGGCTATCATTTTCACTGCTGATGGGGATATGAGGCAGGGATTGAATAACTTGCAAGCAACATACAGCGGTTTCCAGTTTGTCAATCAAGCAAATGTTTTCAAGGTTTGAACCAGTTATTATTTGCAAACTACATTTATCACAGGTAACAACCGGTTTTGTTAAAATTGTTGTTTGGTTTTAGGTTTGTGACCAGCCACATCCACTTCATGTGAAGAATATGGTGCGCAATGTAATTGAAGGGAATTTTGATGAGGCTTGTTCAGGGCTCAAGCAATTGTATGACTTGGGATATTCCCCCACAGATATCATCACCACACTTTTTCGTATCATAAAAAGTTATGATATGGCAGAGTACTTGAAATTAGAATTCATGAAGGTAAATGAATATCTGGTTGTCACATTTATGAATGGATTCCCTGTGTTTAATTTTGGTCATGTTAAATCCCAACCTCCATGAATATCTGGTTGTCACATTTGTATTTTAGTTTTTTGTTGTTGTTGAAAGCATGAGATTGACACATTTTTTCAAATTGCAGGAAACTGGATTTGCTCATATGAGGATTTGTGACGGAGTTGGTTCTTATCTTCAGATGTGTGGTCTACTGGCCAAGTTTTCTCTAGTTCGTGAAACTGCTAAAGCTCCGTGAGTAGGTCTTGTGTGCAACTGATCCACATCTCTATTTTCGCCTTTATGATAGTGAGAATGTAGTATTGATGAAGCAAGTAAATTTTAACTTTATCACGCTGACTGATATATTAATGCTTCAACTTCTAAAAATGTTTAATGTTTGCTAGGCTCAATGTCACTTGTCCTGTATTAATTATCATATCGTTCTAATTTATGAGGATTCAAGTATCACTTCTAAAGACATCCACTCCTAAGGAGCAATACTCCTTCCTTCCCTTTTTTACTCTTTTTTATTTATAAGTTGCTTAAAGAAAAAAAAAGTATTTTTCCAATTATACTTGGTATTTATTTTTTCTCTTCGAATATTTTGCATTTATCATTTCTATCAATTAATAAAAGATTTATTTTTATAATTTCTCTTTTTTATAAATATTGATTATTGATCTAACCTGATCAGACTTGGACCGTCACGGCTGACTCCGAGCTGAAGTTTTGAACGAGGTGGGGGGTACTTGCAACGTACTCCGATGCTGAAGTAAGTAAGAGCACGAGCAGACAAGAGTATGAGTATGGGTAAAAGAATGAATATCTGACCCTCTGGGAACAGAAGGTATTTATAGCCCCCAGCGCTGGGTCAAGGTTCCTTCATTGGGCCGGGCAGGTTTGGCCCAATGGAGGAACTGTCAGGTTCTACGTGTGTAGTGGGGACCTGCACGTGGTCCCCTTCCTGGATATTCTGCGTGAAGTACGGACGGACAAGGACGCGGTCTTTTCGGGATCCAGGTGATGGTGTAGTGGACAGAGTCTGCCCTAGGAGGAGTGCTCGAGCTGAGGTCGAGCAGGATAACATGAAGTTGAGGATGTCGCACTGGCATAGAGCGTCGGGCACGGCTGCGGCCCTTGGTCGGCGTGATTCCTTGCAAGACCGTTTGGATTGGGCCTTCACCATTGTTTTTGGGCCAGCCCGGCCCAGTCCAGAACAGGAGCCCCCCAAGTCGTGGTTCCTGTAGTAGGAGTCATGACTTGATCTTAGGTTGCCTGTGTCACGGGGTCCCGTTCCCGGCTAAAAGATGTAGTTCCCGCGGCTTGCTCGAGGAGTTCCCCCGTGTCGGGTCCATGAGATAATTCCGCTCGAGGAGCGCTCGGGGACTCTCGACGGGCTGCGTTCGTTGAGCACATGAGGCATCTCTTGGGAACCGTGCCGCCACCCTACTGACGATAGGGTCATCATTGTCTAGGGGAGCTACACGTCGAGGAGGGAAGTTCTGTGGTTCCCCGGGGTGACGTTTGGTATTCCACGTCATCACTATAAATAGGGTCTTTTGGGCCCCAGAACGTGTTTTTCCTCTTCGCGCTTCTCCTCTTCCCTCTGTTTCTGCTGTTGCTGTTCTTCCCAGATACTCATAGGACCGCCGCGATCTCCGTCGCTGATTTCCTTTCTCCGTCGTCACATTTCCTTCTCGATTCCAAGTAAGTGTCTTGTCTCCTTTGTTTTTCTTCTGTGATGCATGATTTTTCATTGTTTTTAGACGTTTAGAGACTGTACGTCTGGGATTAGCCCGGTAGATTTATATTTAGCTCGACAAATCCAAGTTGATGCCCGGCGAACGCATGTTTGCGCCCGGCCAATGCATAGTTTAGGTATTTAACTAGCATTGCTGCCCGAGATCTTTATGATTCGGGGCGCCTAATTCTTGGTGGTGCCCGGTGAACTCATGGCTCTAGTTTTGAGACGCATGATATCGCCCGCCACGTTCATAGTCTAGGTCGACATATTTGTGAGTGGTCGAGACGTTGGCCCACTTAGGCGATCTGTAGAGAGACTTGTCGTGGTATCTGGGAGTCGGGGAGGTGACTCCTCTTTTTGTTTCGAGACACCAACTTTTTTAGTCGCGCGTGGAGTGATATGGCTTGTCGCGCTCTTCATCCCGTTTGCTATGGCGAGTGTACGAATTTGCTCCCCAATTGACCGGTTTCCTGTGCTTTGTAGGTAACCATGGCCGACGAACCGTGTTCCTCTGGGCGCGCTGAGGTGGAAGACCAAAGTGCCGAGGAAAATGTAAATTTGGTTGATAGCATTAAGGACCCTTTGCTGGCATGGGTGGGCGCCGAGCCCAGGGGAATAGCTTCGGCCTACAGTCGACGTAGTCGAAGTGCATACACCATCCTCGAGAAGGGCAGTAGTCAGCCCGGTTTCCAGAAGAACTTCGTCGTCTCGCGACCAACTTTCACCGCGCGGATCTGCTCGGAGTTCCCCGAGTATGGATTCCCCATGTATGAAATTGCCTTCAAGGACCTTGGATTACAGCTGCCATTCAGCGATTTTCAGGTCGGGGTCTTCATCCATCTGGAGCTGGCCCCGTCGCAGCTTCACCCAAATTCGCTCGCTTTCATCCGGGCGTTCGAGTTAACTTGTCGGTTTCTAAGGATTGGGGCGACCATACCCCTTTTCTTCAGAGTCTTCCACTTACAGCGCCAGTCCCGGGGAGGCAGGCATAACTGGGTTTCCTTGAAGCAGTCGAAGAGACTGTTCAGAATGTACATGGATTCCGTCCGAGGCTTTAAAGATAAGTGGTACATTGTGAGGCCGGTTACCACCACAAGTTTAGAATCTGTATATGAGGAAGAGACAGTTGTGGCCGACGACCACGGGGAAGCCCTTCTAGATGACGAGGGACACCCGGTGTTAGGGCGCGTGGCCAAATTTCCCTTGCATTGGACCTCGAGGCACTACGAGCATGATACCGGGTACTACCATACGTCCGCGGGCGAGATGAGCCTCGAAGACGAGAAGGCTTATGGTACTCTCTGTCGGTATGTCGACAGTTTCTTCCCCGCCAGATGGGCCACGAGGGAGGGGGAGGATATTCTTGACGAGGAAGGTTATCCGACCTTCGAGGCCCGACCGATTGACACAAAGGCACTTGTGGAGTGCCAGTCCTTCGGGCAGGCCGCGAATCTGCTAGGTCGTTATTGTTTTGTCTTGTTTGAATTTCTTTACTTGTTACTTGTTCGCTTATTTACTCGTCACTAACCCGGGGTTCTTTCATGCAGGTCTGATGGCCGGACGAAGGGAGAGGCTCTTGAAGTTGTCCTGTGACAGGAAGGTTAATAAGAGGGTGGTGAGAGCTCCTCAGGCGACGAGGATGGGCCCGCCATCTAGCCCGGGCACTTCTCAGGCGACGAGGGTGGACTCGCCACCTAGCTCGGGAGCTGTTTCGGGAGGGACCCCGGACGTCCAGGAGGTCGAGCCACACACCGACCTGATACAAAGGAAAATGAATCGGGTGGAAAGTCAACCGGAGGCCGGTGAGGACTCCAACGCTGTGAGGTCCTTCGGGTTGCCCCCTTGCTTTAAAGAGGAGGGTTTCTTCGAGGGGTTTCCCTTGTCCGTGAGTGCTGATGAAGCCGAGGTTATCCGGCGGATGAGCAAAGAGAGTCGGAGAAAGCACCTGGCCGCCAATATGGCCGGATTGGTCAAGATGGCCGAGATGGCCGTTGTGCTGGCCGAGGAGGGGGAAGACTCTGACCGTATCAAAGAGCTGGAGCAGGAGAAAGCTGCCCTCACCTCGAGTTCGCGAAAGTTGAAGGCTGCTCTGGAGCGCTCCGAGGAGATGTTCCGCGAGCAAGCCGAGTTGCTGGCGGCGGAGACAGAGTTGCTGGCTCTGGAGAAAGAGAATTCGGGGAAGCTGGCCGAGGAGAGGGACCATTTCTGTGAGGACCGGGAACGTCTAGAAATTGACAACGGGCGCCTCGCCAGAGAGGTTGAGGAATTGAAGGCCGCCATGCTCCCTGCCGAGGATGAGTCGGAGGAGACGGCTCCTTTGCGGAGTCGGTCGGAGCTGGTCGCTCGCATTCAACTCCTCGAGGTGGAATGCGTTGGCGCCATGGCGGATGGCTTTGAAGCCGCGGTCAGCCAGCTTTCCCTGTTGAATCCCGGCCTGAACACTAAAGGGGCGGGCTATATGTCTCAGATCATTGATGGTCAGATCGTGCCTCCACCCGAGTCTCCTGTTGTTGGTGGTGATAGCTCCGGGGAGGCTGAGCTGTGAGATTCTGATAGGGCCTGCGCACCTTTGTTGATGTTTGTTTTGGGCCTGCGTGCCCGTTCATATTTTTTGGGCCCGCGTGCCCGTTCTTTGTATTTCCTGAACATTGCCGTCCTTCTTGGTCTGTTTACATCTATTTGCTTTGTTGCCTACGGGCATTTTGAATGAATGTTTGTTTCAATTTTTTGATTGTTTGCCCGTGCTTGTGTTTTACGTTTTTGCGCAAAAATTGGCCTAAGTTATGGGCCCGAGTCGTGCCCGTATGTGGTTGTGACTTTGTTGGCAAATTTGCCTAAGTCTTTTGTTCGTGTATGTGCTCGGCCTCTTCTCGATGGCCAGAGTCGCCTAAGTGGTGACCTCGAGGGGAGAGACTTCTTTTTGACCCTTTTAGATGGCCCGACGTTCTTCGAGATTCGTCGGGCGTGCGGAGCGAAGTTGCTTGGTCGGGTATATGACCCGGATCGGGGTTATTTACCCGCGGCGTGAACTGCCCATCGCGAGCTGGGTGTTCTGCTCTATAGGTACTTCGACGGTGGAGCTCGATCGAGGTGTCCACGTCGGGCGCTATCGTTTGTTCTTGTCTGTCGAACGATGTTGTGCGATTTGGACGTAGGTCGGGCCTGTACCTCGGCCTCTCTACGTGGTCGGACGTTTCTCCACGTTGACTGGGCGCGGGAGTCGACAGTCGAGGGTCCTCGGTGTTGGTAGTTTTTAACTATAGTATTGCTTTAGTTTAGCAGCGTTCCAGGGTCGTGGTAGTGGTTCTCCGTCTAGTTGCTCGAGGTAGTACGCCCCGGTACCGGTGGTGCCGTGGACGCGATAAGGCCCTTCCCAGTTCGCGGCCAGCTTCCCTTCGCGGGAGTCTTTCTGGTTCCTCCGTAATACCAGGCTGCCGATTTCGAACTCGCGCTTAATGACCTTGTCGTTGTGGCGCAGAGCCACTCGTTGTTTTAGGGTGGCTTCGCGGAGG